CAAGGGCTGCTCTCCCCCAGAACTCCTCAGAGAGGAGGATTGATAAGACCTAAGGGTCCAGGCTTTTCCCGGGTAGAGCATGCTGACCGGCGGCAGGAGCCTGTGACCCCTGGATTCGACCTGATTAACCCACAGAGTTAGGGTCGGTCTTTCCTTTGCTGGGACTGAGCAGCCTCCTCGGTGTCCCCCCTTGGACCTCAGAGCTCCAGCAGCACCCACCCCCGCTCCTCCCATGGCTCCTGAAGTCCGGGAGAAATTGCACACCTGGGCTCACTGGCCCACCTTCTCTAGCTGGTGTCTCCAGACCCCTCTCCTGACCCTGTGGCCCAGGACCCTGCAGAAACACTGCAGCTCCATCCCTCCCATCCCGGGTGGGCAGACCTGCCTGCTGCAGGGCCCCTTCCCTCACCCCACTTCATACCAGTGTCAGGAGTCACGATTGGATTCCTGGATTCCCACATCCTGCATGTCTTTCACCTGCCTGGCTTTGTGGCCTTCCCTGGGAGCACGAGAGGTGGGGTCCTGGGTTTCGTCCTTGGGCCCTCTGTCCCACAGTCTCCCACAGGCCCCCTGTGGGCTCAGGGCCCCCAGACCCCAGCTCTGACTGGCTAGCCCCTTCCCCCCTTGGAAGAAACCTTGCAGTGAGCTATAGGGTAGTGGGTGCATGTGTACCTCAGCGTCTGCTCCCCCAGTGATTGTTTCTGTCACCTTGTGCCCTCACTCCAGGGTCCAAAGCCAAGCTCCCATCTATCATGTGGTTTCCAGGCTCCCTATTTGAGCTCCCTGCCCTGGGAGGGTCCCTGCTCACCCCCTGCCCGCACCCTGGATAGCAGCTGGCTAGTACATCCAGACTCAGCTACACACTGTCTTCTCCACCTTGGTCTCCATCTCTGACCCCTCGCCCCATGGGCAGCCTCTGTGGGCCTGGCACTTCCTCTCCTGGCAGGGCAGGCAGTGCAGCCCCCACAGGAAGGTGCCGTGGGCTGGGGGCCGAGCTGGGAGCCTGGGCCTCTGCTGCCTGGCTCTGCACCTCTTCATCGCCACTGGCCTTGTGATTAGTGAGAAAGAGTCCAGAATGGGGCTGGTAGCAGCGTCTGCAACATGGGATGGCATCAGGGTGAAGATGGGGCAATGACAGGCAGGTGGCCTGAGGCGGGAGGTCCTTGGTGGTCCTGGAAGGATGGATTGGAGAGGCTGTACATGGGCAGGGCCAGCCTGGGCACGTGGGGGGATGATGTGAGTGACCCGTCAAGTGATCGCGTGCATGGGGAGCAACCCCATCCACCTGCTG